GGTGGGGCAGCCGTTGTGACTATACTGAGAACTTAGAACTTATATCTCAAGGTGGGTGGCGCATTTGTGTCGTAAATGTCTATGGGCTCCAGTAACCACTTAACACCAGGTGGGCTGTGAACTCGTCCACCCATCTAAGAAATAATAAATAAATAAAATATGGCACAATGCAATGGATATACTATTGCAGATATAACTCAAGGAAGGGTGACGTCAGACTAGCGGTCGGTCATACAACTCATGATAAGCCCCTATGCAGCATGATAAGAAGACATGCGGTATAAGAGCAAGAAGAAGTTACTCATTGTGGCTCTTAGTGGGTCGCGTTTCCGATCCGGTGGTCTACGGGATCCGGGTCTACGAAGCACTGCTCTTGCTAGGGCCAGTGTTAGCAGCACACCCAGTTTGAGCCCCGTGAGCTCACCTACACGTTAAGAAGAAGCTGAAATAGCCTCTCAATGCTATCAGCATGGATAGGAAAAAAAAATTGTGGCTCTTAACTCAGATCAGTATTAAGCGGTAGGCAGCGGCTTGGCTCTGCCCCTGGCATTGCTGAAATCCATGGGCGACGGTAACCACTCACCATCAGGTGGGCCGTATGCTCGTCTGCCTACAAGGGCAATAAAAAAAAAAAAAAAAAGGTAAACGACCCAGTCGTTTCGTCGACATTTCGCAGAAAATTACGAATGACACCGCCATTGTTGCAGACATTCTAATTGTTCGTATACAATATAATAATTTACCACAAATATAACATTTAACAAATTATATTATTCTTACATTAACAGAATATTTGCATTGACAAAAGTTAATTTTCCGTGACTGAATGTTTTAAAAAACGAAACAATGTTTTCATTTTAAACGACATAAAAACGTGTTTTATCTTTTAAGGTCAAGTTTGGATCGTTTCAGGGAAGCTTTAGATATTACAGAATAGTATAAACTGGCGATTGATTGCCTACATTTGCTCACATTTTTCCTGTGGGTATTCATTTTCATTTTATTTAATAACATTGTGGAAATCATCCATGAGCATGTATTAGCTACATATTTCCTTTTCACAAATTGGTACATGTCTGCGGGGTTTGTTAGTCTGGTAAAATTGACATAATTGTTTCGCTCGATAAAAATACACCGAGCGTCCTTTAGGCCATAGCAATATAGCATATTGTATTACTGGTAAATTATTTTAGATTGAGATTAGAATTATTACAATACAATAGTAATTATTTGTAAATAGGTAAGCAGCCCCTAGCATTACTGATATTCATGAGCTAACCAAACATCATGAAATGGTCTGTATGCTCATCTACCTATTTAGGTAATAAAAAATCAGGCGTGCAATTCTGACGCGGTAGAAATTTACCTTTCAGATGTATATTATCTCATTCTCTTGCAGGCCGAATCGTAAATCTAAATGTTTTTCTCTTATTTCACTTTTTCGTTTCATCTCAAGTTTCAAACGATAACAGCGCTAAAGAAGTTTTCACATCAAAAGATTTTACTATTGTAAAATAAATAATAATGAATGTCAGCTTTTAATATTGAATGATGTTTATTTTTACATAAACTATGCACACACGTATATTTTACCGGTTTAGATAAAAAAATAGAGTAGTTTCTTAACCTCAGGGACGGTTTGGCCATAATACAATCAACGTAATATAGCTGATGGAGGGAATGGGTGTTTTAAGCTTGATACCAGAATAAGCAGTAGTCACCACAGTGGAGTACAGACGATTTTACTAGTATTTAACATTAATCGCTAACAATTACTTTAGGATTGTTTCAGGCACCATTGTGTTGTTCGGAGATAGTCCGTAAATTCCTATTCTATATCTGTCGAATATAGCTCAACAATTCCCCGTGAGAAACTGTTTACAGTATTGGCAGTTTTCTGTATCTTCTTATTCAGGTATCAAGCTTAGATCAAAACGACGCATGTTTAACGAGACAAAGAATTGAACTACAGTCAAACCTGAGTAAGTGAGAACTGGATAAGTAAGAAAACTCTATAAGTAAGAGTAATAGCAAGGACCCGTCATTTTAAGCTCCCAAAACCTCTATTAGCGATAAACAGAAACCTCTGTAAAAGAGTCGTCTTTTCCTCATGGACCTCCGTAAGTGAGACTGCTACCTATCTATACCTCTATAAGCGACAGCCGAGCTTTATTTATTTATTTATATTATTTAGGAGGAACCAATGACAAAACAAATTACAAATTTAACATCTGCTATTTTATGACTCATTTTTAACTTTCGTGGAACTTCTTATCATTGTTTTTGTTTTGTTTTCTCGTGAATATTGAACCTATTCTATTTCGTGGAACTAAATAACGTTGTTATTTTATCGTATTCTTTTATCGCATTATTTTCGAATGGACACGTGTGCCTGTGTACCGTCCTGTTTGTCGGACTTACTCAGTTTATCGTTAATCAATTGCGAAGGAAAGTTCTGTTCTGCATCATGTAAAAACGGAAAATTAAAGTACTGTCATTAAAGACATAAACTTAAAATAGTGAATGCATTTGAATGCGGAAAATCGCGAATCGAAATTCAGAGGGAGCATTAGCGAGAAACTCGGGTTAGTAAGAAACCTCTATAAGCGAGAATGAGATTGTGCTCCCTTGAACTCTCGCTTATCCAGGTTTGACTGTACATATATCTTTGTGGTTTTTTTTTTAATTGCTTCGATTGGTGGACAAGCTCACAGCCCGCCTGGTGTTAAGTGGTTTCTGGAGCCCATAGACATTTACAACGTAAACGCCACCCACCTTGACATATAAGTTCTAAGATCTCAGTATAGTTACAACGGCTGCCCTACCCTTCAAATCGAAACGCATTACTGCTTCACGGCACAAATAGGCAGGGCGGTGGTACCTACCCGCGCGGACTCACAAGAGGTCCTACCACCAGTTATGTGTATGTCATTGTTGTGACAAGGCGTAAAAATGTATGCATAAATGAGAAGCATATTATTTGATTTTAGAAATTTATGCTTAGTCTTTTTAGCTTATTCTGTTAAATAAGAATGTTATTATTATTCAAATATTATTATAATAAATAGTATAGTACCAATCGTTGAATATTTAAATAAAGAGAGCTACAAAACTTCAATATTAACGTTGAGTCTCTCGTTGAAATGTATTTCAACCGAATATTCTCAAATTTGCATTTAACCATTTATTTTGATCGTGAATAACATTAGCAAAGCAACTGAACAGTAGTTAGCAGCTAATTATTTATTTCACACGAAAATAGAGTAACGACGAATATTGATACTAAAAGATATAAAATAAAATATAAAACAAATTTAAAGCAAAACTAAACATAATTCAACTAAAATAATAAAACTATACCGAATTTTTTTCTACAACGTAGTGTTTAAGGAAAAACATAATTAATTCGTTTAGATAATATTATATAAACGTGTAAAAACTCATCAATACTTAAACCAGTTCAATCATTACTTTAATTCGATTTTAAATACATCGACATTAAGTGATTGATAAGGAGTCGTGGTGTCTTTGATTGCGTAGAATGCAGATGAGCTTCTAGTTCACCGTTTGGTAAGTGGTTACCGTCGCGCATGCACGCACATCAACAGTCCTAGGAGAACAGCCAAACCACAGCCTACCGCTAACACAGCGAACCCATTATGCGCCCTAAAACTCATACTAACAGATGGGCCATGAGACTATCGGCTCATATACGGCAATGAAACAATCACTCTACAAAACAATCATCTTATGCCCCTAACATACACATATACCTAACTAAAATATGTATTTAAAAAATTGCAACGTTTGTCTACACCAGTGATTCTCAACCACTGTTCCGCGGCACTTTTGTGTGCCGCCAAATTTCAAAAGTGTGCTGCCAAATTTTGCGAATATATAATAATGTTAATATTATTAAATTATATCATTTTAAAAGAAAAATATTTTAAACATGAATATATATTTAAATCTACAAAAAAAAATTATAGTATATTTTAGTTTATTTCGTATATTAAAATTTTTTGATAAACTATTTATCCAGTGTGTTTAGTAAGTAAATAATTTTTATCTTCTTTTTTTGTGTGCCGCCAAATTTTGAAATCGTTAAAATATGTGCTGCAACAAAAAGAAGGTTGAGAATCACTGGTCTACACTGTAATATCTTGTTGTATTTTAAACAAACAATACATTTTTCCTGCATCGCAATAGAATGCACATAACAAACGAATTATAGCATTTAGAACATCACAGCGTTCAAATTAAAGTTTATGTAAGACTGTAAGACAAAGAATAATAGTTATTATCATTTTACTCGCTAGTGTGAGAATATTTTTTTTCGAAATCCCTGTAGTTTCTCTTGTGGCTATTATGTTAGCTGATCTCATGGTCAAGGGCAAACTATGCAATGATGATTATATAATGTCATTAAAAACAACCATGAGGCAACATTACTAGAAAACTCACACACCTAATCGTGGTAAACTACCGTATAGTAGCTACTTTGGTAACGATTCTTTTTTAAAAGAAATAATATCTCAAAATAGTTTGATCAAATAACTATTTCATCATTGGTATTTTAGTATGGTATTTTTTTAGTACCTTAAGCTAACAGACAATCTTGTAGCGCTTTTTAATCATACTGTCACAGGTCCCCCCAATTTACAATATTGACCCCCTTAATCTTTTAGGCGATATCGATGATTATGGAATCAAAACAAGATCAATTTTAATTGATCAACTGAAAAATGAATACGTTTCTCGCTGTGAAAACTTACAATTAATCGTGAAAATAAAAAGTATACATGCAAAACGTTGGATTAGCAAAACACGGGTATAAAGAAATGACAATAAAATTAAAAGCATTGTATTTTTAATGTGCATACTATTTGTAATAATCAAAAATCAAAAATTTCATAAGAATTAATAGCCAAGTCAAACAAATACAATTCAGTGTTGTTACAAAGTCGTCTAAAATTAAAACGGCATGTAGCAAAGATTACCTGCGGTTCGAATCCAGCCAATGAAGCGTAAGCTATCGACTGCGGTATCAAGGTAAGAGCCACCGTGATCCCGGCTATTAGATCCCCGATCGCTGTCCTCAGATCGTAACTCTTCGACCACCGCAGTATCGGGAGCACGCTCTCGACTAATCTCATGGGATTGCTCAGTTTCAACATTCTTGATGCTGGAATCGAGATAAAATTTAAATCTTATATATCTTATATCTTTAAACGAGCAATTCTTGTATATATATAATTATATAATCTGAATCTCGGAAACGGCTCCAACGATTTTCATAAAATTTAGTATACAGGGGATTTATTTTCAGAAAATGTTGTTTTATTCGTGTTTTCAATAATCAACTCTTCCTGACATCTATTGGCGAATAATAATACTATTTTTCTTAATTGAGGGCAACTAACCGCTTTAAAGACGCACAAGATGGTGTTATAAAAAAAAAAAAAAAAAAAAACGAGCAAAGCTCGGTCATCATCTAGTTAGAATTAAAAAGAGAAATCCGGTTGTTTTGTAGTGTGTACACACAATGCATGCCAAAAAGAATACATATTTATTATGTAAAGAGTTACGTCAGAACCATCTGTCCGACTACTTATATAATAAAGGGTGTATTGAAACCGTTGAACGAAGACTGGTTATTCCTAATAAGGTGGCATTGGAGATACCACATTCGAAAATTTGTTACTTTACTGATTTTGTTGTTTGTAGGAAATGCTTCCAACTGTCTTTACATTATATAGCGGGTTCATAAAAACGAACGTACTAAAATAACATTAATATTATTGGCTCGACGTTACAGCTCTAGGTTTATGAAATGATTTCAACTTTTCAAAATCAACCTTAGGAGCTATAAATGTAATTTATTTTACAAAGTTAGTTTCATACGAATGAAAATAATACCTGCCTATAGGATTTGAACACTAGCATAGTCACATCGATCGATACTAATAAGAAAAGATCCTTTATCCAACAATTATTTCAAAAGTGAGTCTCATTCCGCCTACATTGGTAAAAAAACTATCACAATCCTGTCCAATTTACCACAAGGCAAATGTATGATGCTGTTTAAGGGAAGTGAATTGTTTATTATCTATTCGTAAATTAATTATATAAGAGGTTCACATTTCAAATTTTATTGTATACTAGCGACCCGCCCTCGCTTCGCTTCGGACACATTAAATTTTATTATTGAATAGCTGAGTCCCGCGATGTCACCCGCGATTATTGTCGTACCGCGGGTGACGCCGTGGGGCGAAGCTAGTCTAAAAAAGTAACTTAAGTTACTCCTTATACAATCAGCTACCTATCAGGGAAAATCCCGTCAGAATCGGTCGGCCGTTCCAGAGATAAGCCGGAACAAACAGACAGACAGACAGACAGACAGACAAAAATTGTAAAAAATGTTATTTTGGTGTATGTACCGTATATATATATTCATATGCATGTAGTAAAAAGCGGTTATTTCAATATTACAAACAGACACTTCAATTTTATTTATATGTATAGATTATCCCTTGTCTGATCACTCGTTTTTTTCCCTACCCATTCACTGGTAGCCTAAAGGGCTCTTCCAGCTACGGCCGGACGGGTTCACTGGGGCTGATAATACTTTATTTCTTTGAGACGTGCTGGTTTAAGTATTATCTAAATTAAAAACAAATCAAGGGCTCAACAAGTTGAATATTAGAGGACAATTCAATTGATAATACAAAACTTAAATATTTCACTTAAATAAATAAACGACAATTTAAAGATATTTGAAATGAATCAATTTGTTTTAACGACATTTTGGATTTTATTCTTTTTATTAATTGCAATGAAAATGAATTAATAATAAAAACACACATTTATTTATATATATAAAAATGAATTGCTGTTCGTTAGTTTCGCTAAAACTCGAGAACGGCTGGACCGATTTGGTTAATTTTGGTCTTGAATAATTGAATAATTTGAAGTCCAGAGAACGCTTAAAAACTAGATAAATATGAAAATGCTCGGAATTAAATAAAAAAAACAATTTTGTTTTCCCTTTGATGTGTCCCCCGTCGGACGGATTCCTTTTGTATGTTTTAAGTTTATTTTATGCCGAAGTTTAGGTCTTTTATTTATCGATTGAGGCACTACGAAGTATGCCGGGTCAACTAGTACTTTATAAATTACTACTATTGTCATTTAAACATTATAACCAAATATACTGTATCTGCCGGCCCTAGAATTCCTTAATTCAACACGGCCAACATGGATTTGTCTCGCGTGTCTATTGTTTGACCTTAAATTGCAGGCTCTAACAATAACCACATTGACTGCATAACTAATTCTATTTGTTGGAAAATTTTTTTTTATTCATTAAGGTACCTAATTTATATTCACAACATAAGGCGTAATAATAAATAGCTGTGCGCTATCTGTATCAATGTATTCCATATTATTATTATAAGGCATATAGGTAGGACGTTTTTTTTAATTGCTTAGATGGGTGGACGAGCTCACAGCCCACCTGGTGTTAAGTGGTTACTGGAGCCCATAGACATCTACAAGGTAAATGCGCCACCCACCTTAAGATATAAGTTCTAAGGTCTCAGTATAGTTACAACGGCTGCCCCAACCTTCAAACCGAAACGCATTACTGCTTCACGGCAGAAATAGGCGGGGTGGTGGTACCTACCCGTGCGGACTCACAAGAGGTCCTACCACCAGTAATTGACGTTGACAAATTATTTGACAGTAAACTAAAAATGTTAACGCAAAATAAAACCGACTTTAAGGAAATTAAATAAAAATAGCTCCAAAACGACTCAGGAGATCTTCATAAAATTTCAGTGAGACCACCCATATGAGAAGTATCATCTTTCAAACACAAAAACATCCTTAAAATCGGTTCATCTAGAAAAAAGTTCTGAGGTCAATAATACAGATTTTAAAAAAAAACAGTCTAATTGAGAACCTTTAAGTTTTTTGAAGTCATTGTACAAAACGCAACTGCTTTCAAGAGAACGAAATTACGTCTGCAAAACTATTAGATTTCCATTAATAAGCTAGTGCAAGCGGAGCAAATGTCAATTGTTTACACAGCTACAAAAGTATTGACGTTGAACGAAAAACAATTTTCTATTTGGACAAAATACAGTTCTTAACACAACTGAAGTCAACTATTATTATATATTTTTAAGAATTGTTCTTTATCCAAATAGAATTGTTTTTTGAAAAATATTATCAGCCAACTTCAATGCTGGACTCTTCAATTGCACGCCACTGAACACTATCATCAGCTTCTCTCATCCGGCTCTTGCTAGCCACCCTTCGTAGCTCATCACCCCACCGAGCCTGAGGATCGCTGGAGTGAACTAAACTATATGGAAATCCAAACATGTAAATCTACGCGGATACCTATAAATGCAAATTGGTAAAAGAAGTAAACAATATAAACGCAAGGATAAAATGTTTATAGTATCAGAAAAATAATAGGCTGTGTGTATTTTTGAACAATATTGCAACAGGATAACATTTTTTTTCAAATCAATATATGTAGTATATTTTTATAACTAGGCTCTTTTGTGCTTATTTTCAAATAAAAACGACATAACAAGTTACAATTAAAACTAATTGAAAGACAATAGTTTTTTTCGAAAGCACCTGAATTTTAACTATGACTTCATTTTTTTATGTTATTTTAAAATTACTCAACTTAGACTAGACAGGCGACATAACCTTTCTAACTAAAGTGTTACCTAAACCGATTAAATATGGAAACAAGCCGTGAATTAAGTGATGTAAGATCGTCAACGAAACATATAAGAATACAATATTTTTATGAATATATAATTCACAAAATCCCTACTGTGATTTCATAATGTTAAGGATAGTAGTAAGTATGTTATGTAATGTGTTAAGCTTGAGTAGTAAATAAATTAACGAAAAATAAAATCAACTTATTTTATTTTGGAACAAGGTCGTTTCCTTATGCATACATAAAAAAGTTAAAACATGTTAATAAGGCGCTATATATACAATGACGCTGAATTTTTTTTGCATTGTATAATAAAAATATGACAGAAACAAATAGATAATTGTTACAATTGTCGTGCCATTTGAAAATAAAGTACTATACTGCACCATAGCTCCGCCTGATATGAAAATCGCCTTGTACTATTAAAGACAGTGTACCCAAGCACGATTATTCTATACAAAAGGCTTGGTCGAATTGTCGAACTTTGGGCACAATTTGTCTTATCGATTTTCAACCCTGGCTTCTTCAAGATATCAGAATTAATCGTCCCTCACAAGCAATAGTATTTGTATCCGCTCCTATTTTCCCCTAATAAGATAATATGACCACCCTATAAATATCCACCATGAATTTTTTATTTTTTTTTATTTATTTATTTTACTTCAGATTTTACATCCATATTACACGTCTTCATTACATTGCATTAACATTTCATTTATACTAAAATTAAATAAAAATAATAACTAATCTCGGACTAAAACAAAAACAATAATAATCAACGCAGTATTATTTACGATAAAAAAAAATTCGAACAGATTTCTTAAAATGTTCACTTCAACGGAACGTTGTAAGGTTTATCCTCATTATTCTTTATCATAAATTCGGCCTTAAGCTCATTTACAAATCAATTTTAATAAAAATGAAACCTTGAAAAAATTCGCTGTTATTTCGTATCTTATTAATTCAATGTGCTTTCAAAAACCTTCAAATTAGTCTAAAAAATATATATTTATAATGTAAAACTACTCTCATTTGAATAAGAGGTGAACGTTTCAAGTGGGGGCAAACAACTAGAGGACGAAATATTGACAATGAAAATTTGTACACGAAGGAAATACTCTTAAATATAATTTTAAAATTAATAATATAATTATTTTATTGCCTAGTTGGGTGGACGAGATCACGGCGCACCTGGTGCTAAGTGCTTACCGGAGCTTATAGATGTCATTCACTTTGAGACACCAGTTCTAAGTCTCAGTTTTTACATTACATTTGCTTCACCGCAGAAATCGGTAGGGTTATGATACCTTTTTACCCTGCACTCTGTCGGTACCAGTAATTATGCAAACTTGTTAAATGGCGTCTCACGAACAATATTAGATGCATATTTATTTAAGCCGCGGCAGATGGCATAGCATGACTTGGTACAAGGACACCTCGCGTGCAACCTATTAAAGTTCATTAAACCATCGATGCTTCAGTTTGTCATTAACACGTATTTGTTCCTACGCTCTTAAAATTACTCAATCAAGAGGTTGAAAGTTAGAGTCTTGGCCTGTACCACTGAGCTTACAGATTTACTGGATTAGCAAAGTATATACACTTTGTAAATACATAGTATTCATCAAGAATTTAAAGTGGTGCAACCAGACTGTTAACGACTTAATAAAGTAATCAAACTTCAATCATTAACATACATACCAGGACGAAATTTATTTACACGTAAAAACATTAACGATAGCTCACCTCGAAGATTTTAATGACAAATGTAATATAAGCATTCACGAAAACATAGCATAGTTTAAATTACATTAAAATATAAGTGTTTTAAAATGAAATCATGTTGATTTAAAAACGACAATTTACATACTTCACTTTTCCCGCGTTTTTAATTTCTTTAAACCGTAGCGCGCGCATGCGCCTTCAACATTTTAAACTGCGCGTAGGACGACGGCATTTCACAAACTGCCTCCTAAGCATACTCCTAGCAGTGCGACTACAATAATCTCGCAATCTGTTAATTTCCCAGTCACACTCAATGATTTTGTTTACAAGTATGACAGACTCGGCCAAAAATTGTGCTTAATTTAAAATTTACAATTATACCTGTAACTCATTGCGGTACGTTATTTGGATACATTCACATATGTTTCGAGTATCCACATCATTTATATTCTTAATATCAAATATCAATATCAATAAAAGTCATTACATAAATAAAAATAAATATTGACTTCACTACACTTTATAAAATTAAATGTTATGTAGGTTCTTCAGTCCTTTAAATAGAGTAATAATCTCGTATGAGTGACCTAAACACTCAAGTTAAGAAAAAATAATTTGTATTTTTATGTTTATTTAGCTTAGAATACTTTAGCTTTGGCGTCTGCCAATTGGGAGTCTTCCCAATTCCATTTTTTCATAAGTACAAGAACTATTTAGACCCAATGGTCTTACATGTATAATAGGCAGTTCGACTATTGTAAAGAAAACAAGGGTAAGCTACTCTGACTTACTCAAAGTACCTACATGACTCAAGAATTCTCTTCCTAATCCTATCAGCTACCACGTCCAAAGATTGACTTTCCACTGTAGCGCGACAGAAATATGCCAGTTGCTGATACCACCTAATATATAATGGAACTGTAAGTTGATTGTAGCGTAAGGACATCGTTCACATTGAATTACTAGATAACAGTTTATTTATTGTAAAAATAAAATAAAACTAACAAATACGAAATAAACCCTAATTTAAAAAGAAAATCTTGAAATAACGAACATCAATTATATCAAAGCATATTTTAGGTAATTTAATGAGTGCTTTTCCATGCCTTCATTTTCTGAATGCAAAGGAGTTCATGCCGTCATGTGCCTGCATTTACAGAGACAATATGAGAACAGCTCAGACTCTCAATCTTTCTACCAGCTTTTCGCAGTGGCTAAATTTTTTTTACTGCCATTTTTACATAACAGACAATGGAATCTTTGACGTGGTGACGTGACGTCGTGTTACAGGAAGCACTAAGCATTATCGGGCTGTGAACTCGCCTACCCAGATACGGTTGCTCTGCACGGGTTTTACAAAAGAGCATCCGGGTGATGGAAGGCCGGCTATCCTTGACCCATGCTGGTTCTGACCCAGCGGGGTATTTATACGGCGAATCCGGAATCCCGAAGGGGGGGGCTGGGCTAATGACATGCCCCGCCCGCCATACCCAGTAGAGGGAGGAAGTCTAGAGATTTCCACCTGATCAAAAAAAGAACCCAGATACGGTAGAAAAATAAAACAAAAAACAAAAATATATATAGACAATTACAAGAGCATCAATTGTACCTATATTCGTTACTAAATATTGTTGGTCTAATTTAAATATAGGAAAAAATCCAGTCTACTAATATGGTACTCGAAAAATAAAATAAAACCCGTAGTCTCTTCATGGTACAATGAAAAACAAATTCACAGCAAAACGAGCAATCTCAATGTGAAGGGTTCAGGTGTTTTTGAACCTAAAGAAATATTTACTTCGATTAGTTTCGAGAGTAGCATCCGAATTCCAAACAGAATGGGGATCAGGAAGCCCGAGTTTCTTGTATACCAATAAGAATAACAATAACAATGGGAACTTTCGCAAGGGGACTACATATAATAATATTTACTATATAGCTGTAGGTGATTACAAATTTTTATACAATATATAAATATTTATTTTACGATACATATCTTTAGAAATCATGAACACTCGTGACCTTTACGTTATGCAGGTTTAACTTTTTTTAGACTGACGACTAAACCTTGCACGAGATAGCCACATTGAAGGGGTGCAGTGGTATGTGAGATTCCCAATCTTGGATGTTTGAGAGACCAACTAACCGTATGCCCTGCATTTATAGCCTAAGTATCCGAGCCCCACCGGGACCGAATCTGGGACATCTATGAGAGGCGACCGCGGTGAACATTATAATCCGAAGAGGTCATCCCGAAATCGATGAAAAAGGCTCTACCTTGGTCATCACTACGTAAGTGCTTCTCTGTAAGCTTTGTTTTTATTGCTCTTGAGTCTAGATGATCGATTATATGCTCTGGGTAAATTGACAGACTTGACTTCCCAGCAAAAATGGACAGAATGGGCTACCTACCTGTGCTGGCTCACAAAATACCATACCATTGGCAACTGCGGTTGGCGAATGCAATTTGATTTTGTATTGCTTTCTGCAAGATTTTATTAAGCTTAAGACGCGTGCAAAATACGAATGCTTATCGATTAGGTAATAAAAATAGTATTGTATATTTCTCTGTAACGTTCTGAAACGATCTCTACACGGTAGATTGTTTCACAGATCGTTAAATTGTAAATCGTAACTCAAGATTAAAAAATTACGATATTGATATTTGCAGAAAATTAACACAAAATTGTCGAAAAGTTACCATTGAAGATATTCTGTTTTTATTGCTTTCGTGCTTAAAAACCTCTTACTCTAAAGTAAATTAAAGCTTTTCAACAGAGCTACCACTAAATTCCAATAGCCCGATAGTCTGAACGAGTTCAACATTCCTTAAAGTACTAACGCTAAGTCAATACTAAGATAGCTTCTAAGAGCACTCAAGGGAAAGTACTTAGGAAGATGTGATTTATTAAAATAGTTTAATTTGTTGAAAGCCTTGTAACTCATGTATTAGAAGGAGATCGTTTAATCTTAATTTTATGTACTATCTACGATTTTTATTATCCTAAGAGATTATAATTTGAATTTGAAAATCTACGGATATTGATTTCCTAATCACTTTTAATCACAGATTAATAATCTCCTTTCTGTAAAAGGCATATATTTTTTATTCTGCGATTAACGATTCAAATCTAAAACAAAACACTCAACTATCATATAGAATTAAAAGTACTGGATAACAAATCAATAAATAAGGAATGAAGAAATAAATCCTCGCCAATAGAAATGAACGGATAATTAATTGAGATCTCTATAAAGGTTCCCACAGCATCGTTTAATCTAGTGCGCTTTTTTTTTCTTTATATAGAGTTTTTCTTATTTCCCCCGTGAGCAAGGGCTAGATGAAAGAGAGGTTAGAGCGCATCGCCCGCTCAGAATCCACAATGAGGTGAACAATGGATCATCCGGATATTGCCTGTCAACCAAGCTACCTACACGGGAACCGCCACTACGGCAGGTCAGTCGCTGGACCCGGGTAAAACGTTTCCATAAAAGATGAACTGTGCATTAGAAGTGTGAGTAGTCTGTTCAATGTTTTTCGTTTCGGTACGTAGACGACTCTTTAGCTATTCTTTTGTATCACAGTAAATAGGTAGGTAACTTTACAAGTATCTACGAAATAGCGGAGTGAATATTTTCTGAAATTTAGATTAAAAAACGGGTAGAGTGTTTGCTCACTAAACAAATTGTATCATTGTATCGGCAAAATGTGAAAACACATTGTATTGGAAAAATGTAAAGGCTGACCAAAATAATTGACCTGCGATCTATCAAGGACAATCCGAGCCAGTGGGTCGCATGCTATGCGGAAAGAATTCACAATACATGGCCTTGCGTATTAACTATTGATGACTGCACATGGCATGGATAAATATTACATTATTCTCTTTTCAAGCGACAGTAAGTGTGTCATTAGCGTAGATAGGCAAACAAGCCCAAGATCAATTTTTTACTAATACGCATACCACTGTTCTCGTGCGATCTCTCATGTTTACGTCAAAGGTTCAAGACGACTTAGACTCTTGCTAGGGCCAGTGTTAGCAAACACCCGGTTAGAGCCCCGTGAGCTCACCTACACGTCACGGAGAAGCTGAAATAGCCTCTCAAGGTTATCAGCATAGGTAGGAACAAAAAAGAAAAAAAAGAAGTAAATATCATCTCACACCCTGAGACTTGCAGCCCCTTAACGCGGACCGTACTATTACTACTTACAGCCCCTGAACGTGGTATTTCAGGCTCGAAAGGGCTCACAATACCCTCAGTAAATACCGTTTAGTGATTGAAGTATGCATGCGGTATAACACTCAGAGAACCCTGCAGCCAATTCTTGGATCAGCCTTAGTCACCTTTACGATACTTACAGAACGAGATAGGTTGATACTTATTCTAGGCATCACATGGAAAACGATTGATTTACTAAGCTAATGGCTAATAGTATTTATCGAACGCGATTTGTTTGCTATTACAAATGGCCAACGCTACCTAAGTCATAACATGATAACATTAAGTGTGCCTTGTAGTCTCATGAGTATGCAGGCGATCTTGCTGTCTAATAGGGCTGTGAGTGCTTGTCCCTGTGATTAGTTTATTCATATATTATAACTACAATTTTTTTTTCTTTTTTCATTATCCTTTTGATACTGGTCAGGATATTAGTGCGAAGTTATAAAATGGTTATATTGTAATCGGTCCTTGATACGTGTGATCTTATAAGTTAAATTGGACGTCTTTAAGTCGTTGGAAATGACTTTCAAAGATTCCGTTACATACAAACCTGCCAAGCTAATAAAAGAGTGTTAAAACAGCTAAACAAAGAACTAGTAACGATATTGTTTAGATACTAAGACTAATCATTTGTAAATGCTATTAATATTTAAGACGCTATTAACATGTAAAATATTCATTACTTGTTAAGCCCTTTGATTAGTTGCTCGAAGTAAAACGTGCCATGCAACGCTGTGCCAGCCTCAAAACTAGGTAGGTACCTATATATGTATACATGTATAACGCCCGTCGCAGTTATGTTTCTATGATCCATGTAGTTTAAAATTGAGACAGCTATCGTCTTTTCTGTCCACTTCACCTTGAAGGAACAAGTCACGTATTGAAATGAAAAATGCATAAAGTCAATACTA